TAGGTTGTTCCTTCATGAGATTTACTTTCATGAAATAAGAATATTGAAATACCTGTTTCGATTCGAGTAGCATAATCGAATAGCTGATTTGTATGAACTATTCTTCGATTACATTTTCGTAATGACGTGATAAATTTCAAACTTTATTTCATAATTCAAGAAAACACTTGAATACTAGTTTGCTGTGAATTGTTCGATTATCAAACATCGCTTAGTAATAGAAAAAAATTCAAAAGTTCCTTTTCGATTGGATAGAATATTGGAATCGATGTTTCCTAGGAGTTATTCTTGTATCTTACTTCTTTCATGTCATAACGACGTGTTCATTTTTCTTTGAAATAGAAAAGAATACTCAAGTATTTACCTGGTAGCAACCATTCGTTCACGTAATTTTTCCTATTGAGATTATGATATAATTATCTGTGCTTAAAATCAAACGGTATATAGGACCATTTGTTTCTTGTTAATTATTCATTGAACTAGTGTTTATAAATGTTGTTATCAATTTTAAATGTTTCTTCCTAATTAAATGAAATGTTAGAATTTTTGTTTTGTGCGAGAGATTTATTTATTGTGGGGTTCTTGTAGCATATCAAGTTTTGAAAATTTTCTTGAAATAGAACAAAATATTGAAATAAATAAGTTGTATGACGTATTCATTTAGTCATGTTTCGTCATCTCAGAGGTATCTTCTATAGTTCACTTACGTTAGAAATAATTATTGAACAGTTACTTCGTATGAATCACTCATTTATCGCGTTTTCGTTAAATATAAAAGGAGATTTAGAAATTTAGTTTGAATTCGATAAAGTATTTGAGTAATTTTTTAATATGCATTGTTCTTTCATTTGATAGTATTTTATGATTTCAGTAAATCGAGATTGATTTCCGGTTGTGAGAAAAATATGGGATTGACTGTTTTCTATGAAATATTCTTGGCTCTCGTTTCGTTTAATAGTGTGAGAAAAAGAGAATAGATATTCAATATTCAACAAATATGTGAATTCCTATTTGGTGTAAAATATTCCATGAATATATGTTCGAGGATAGTAACATCAACTGCTCAGGTCTACTTATTCGTGAAGAAAGTATTTATATTGATGGTTTGTAGCAGTGATTCGGTAATCATCTGCTATTAATGACATAAAGATTTTGATGATTTTAGTTTTAATTGAAGATAATACTCGTTTAGTTTTTTAATATGAAGCATTTTTTGATGCTTTGGTGTTTGATCATGCAATGAATATGAAACTTTTATTCAAAATCGAACGAAAATGTCGAATAGTCGTTTACTGTGTATTATTCTTTCATTCAATATTACTCCATGATATGAAGAATAGGAAAACTCTACTCACAATAGAACTAAGTATTAGATTAATTATTTTGCAGAAAATATTTGCTAATTTTGTCATCGATAAGATATAATTAATTTGAGATGAAGAATTTAATTTACTCAAGATATGTGAGTATATGTTTAACATTCTGATTTGTTCATTTGTATAATGTTTCTGTATGATATTATGCAGTTTCAATCATGGATTGAAATGGTAGAAAATATTCCAATTCATTAATATGCTTTGTTCTCTCAGCAGATATTCATTATTAGTACAATCTATCTGAAGGTTTTGTATAAAATGACAGAAAATATTTGATTATGAGGTTTATTGATCATTTAGACTGTGATTTACATTAATAAGTCTTAACCATTGCTTTTTCTCCATAATGAGAAAAATAATTAAACGTAATATAGACAAATTATAAATCTGGTAACTTCTTTCAAAACTATATCTCTATTTTAATCCGTCTAGAAATTTTTCTGATATACTGTTTCATTATGAGCATATTTCTCATTTACAACACTACCTTCGATATGATCCGATATTCAATCGATTCGGAACCTTTTTATTTTCAGGATGGACGCTTCAAACGCAAATTCAATTTAAAAATCGAACATTTCAAGACTCTTTACTCAAAGACAATAACGTTTATCATTTAGCTAGCAACTCCTTTTCATATCTGTTTTTAATTGCATTTTCTCTCTTAGCTTTAAACATTATTTCTTTTCTTTTCTTCTGTATTTTTTCACAAGTTTTCTATTTTCTAATAAATTACGTGCACCGTCAATATTATCCGGTTCAGTAGCTAAGATCAACAGCAAGTATCTATAATAATCATAAGGAATACATATTGCTCATGATAGACTATCACAAACAATATCAACATGCTTCTAGAGACACTCAAAGATCTAGAATTTAGCCATCACAATTCACTGTAAAATTGGAAATGATTAAATTTTTCTACTTTGAAAATGCAATTTCATTCTTTAAAACAATATAGCCTCTTTATTTAAAATACAATGTCACAAGGTTCTCAAGAATTACCTACACTTCATAATTAATATGTTTTATCTCATCAAATATTCATTTAATACTAGAAAAAAATCTTTCACTCAATATAATTAACTACGTTTGAAAGAAAAATCATACATATAACTGTCTTCGAACAGTTTTAAAATAGAACATTTTTCGAGATTTTATCATCTAGACTTTACTGAGAAATGTTGCCGACACATTCTTTTGCAAGAATAAGAACTTCTATATTTTGATCATGTATTAACTTAATATATCTGTTTTTTTGAATATTTGAATTTGAAAAAAAGCAAGAGAAATAGCCACATTAGAACATGGGAAAAATACAGGTATAGGTGACATCGAAAAATCTCAACATAAAGCGATTAAAAGAATATTATAATAAATATAGTCTATTGAAACGAAATAGTATTAGCTTTAGTTCTCATCGATATCCGCCGTTTTCTTTTGCTACAATGTTTTAATGAAGATTTATTCGTTACTCGAAAGCAAGTCATTTTTCGCTCCTATTTTGTTGTGTATGTCTAAATAAAAAAATGTTCTCTTATGGCGGATTTTTAATTAATTGGCTTACGTATTTTTTGCATTTTGGTTTTGTACTCTTAGTTCTTATTTTCACATGTTTGCAGGTGTAGATTCACAGGTATAGCATGGAAAATCGATTATTTATTTCTGCCATAGCAGTTTTTTAAGTCTATATTGAACATTTATTGAATTATCTCATTAGATCAGTTGAATTAGATTATAATATAATTGTATCACAAAAAGGAGGTTATCATTTGATAGAAACTTATTATTAACCAAAAAAATGACTCATTTTTTGGGACGTGGATAAGTATAAGATCAACAGCCACAACCCTCATCTATACTCTTGAACTGATGGATTAAGGTCCGATTTTAAAATTATAAATAAGTTACTATATGGAGTTTTAAATTTGGATCGAAATATATTGAAGAATGAAGTCTTACGTATAATTTCTTCTCAAGAAACGCGACAAACGTTATAGAATAATGTTTTTAACTGGATATGTCAAGAAGAGTCTTTATTAATCATTAGATATTAGCCTTATTTATATATAGCGTATAAAATGAGTTTTCATCAATGTATTATAAAAAATTATAGAGATCATGGTTGGGTGTGGGTGTGAGTGTGGCAATCATATTCATAATAAATTATTCATAAAAACACATATTAATATCTGTGACAAAGACTTATTATAAAATACATTCATTTCTGAATGTATTAAACAAATAAAGACTCTTCAATTTTATTATCATTCACTTTCATTACCTAAATGGCAAGATGTTATAGAATTCGTCTAGAATTAAACCCTAAACAAAAATCCAAGAAATCATTAGATTATTATTGATATTTAATTATGTTGAGTAGGTATAGTGATGCTGAAAAAACCTTATTAATGTTAACAAGTAAAAAAAGTTCAAACAGATGGAGTATTGCATTTACTTGCTAGAGCACAACGTAAACGTAAAAAAATATTTCATTGAAGAAATAAATAAACGAAACTATAAAAATTTGGCATAGCTAACAGAGATGTCCATGGCGGCGCTGACGCTGCCGCTGGCGCTGCCGCGACGCTGACGCTATGGTGTCAGCGTCGCGGCAGCGGCAAATTTTTCAATATTTCATTGGCGGCAGCGGCGTGGCAGCGGTAAAAATCTTTTTTAGACATCGCGGCAGCGGTAGTTATTTTTTTTTTAAGGTCGCGGCGCATCGCGTCAGCGGTAATTATTTTCTTTTTCAAATAGCGTCGTGTCGCGGCAGCGGCAAAATTTTTTAAGCGCTGTAGTCTTAATCGAAATTCAAAAAGATCAGGCTAGAAATATCTTCTTTGATATTTTGATTAAATAAAGTATTTTTGTCAATAAAAACGTGTATTATTTATTTCTTCTATCGATAAAAACTAGCTTTTGTGCTCAATGGACGTATAAGAATTTCTTCCCAACATATTTGACTGACACATTGATAGTATGCATATGAAAATGCCACAATACAAAAAGTCATAAAATATCAACCGTCGAACAGCTGTAGTAATCACATACTGTCTTTGACCTCACTTTTAAACAAGTGTTTTCGGGTTTCTGCTCTTGATATTAAAAGTCATAAAATGAATTTAACTTTGATGAATGTCCTAAGGAAGTCCGATGAAAAAATTAAAAACTTGTGAAGCTTTTCAATAATGCTATGCTTCAGATTCTCTCATCGACAGTGATAATAATGGAACATTATAATTCTTCTAATGGTTTAATTTTGCCACAATGGAGATAACGGACGATAATGAAGGGACAATAAACAAACGAATAGATAAAAAGATTAAGTTATATTTAATTTGAAGAAAAAAGTGACATAGACGATCAAATATAGAGCGACACGACATATCGAGAAAAATAAATCATTCTTTATTCAATTCACTAATCGATACTGATTGGTAAGACGTAAACAATATACTTATACAACAAACAAAGTACTTTATTTTTCACCTTTATTATTTTAAGATAAGTCAATATCATTGTTTCATACATAATGAACAGTAGAAACTGATCGTTGTTTTGATTTTAAATGTCGAAATATTACTATGATATTAGGATTGAAAAATTTATTCCTTGTTTTAGATGACAAATTCCAATCTATATTCATCATTTACAAGTGCTGATGTAAGTCATAATGAATCATCCTCTTCTACTCAAATTTTGACCACAGAAGATGTCAAATCCAAATTTAAACTGGCAGTGCTCGACGACATTAATAATAAAAAACCTCATCAAGTTAAAGAACTAGCTGATGGAATACAAAAGTTATTGAATAAGAAAATCGATAGATACAATGTCGTTTCACATGGTATTGACAAATTACATATGGCTAAATGGTGGTCAAAATTTGGCTTTGCAAAAGAAATAGTATCTGGCGATACTTATACTGCTACTAATTTCGTTTCGTGTGAGGTTTGCTTTGCTACATTTCGTTATGGTTCATCATCTACAGAAGCAATATCACACCATCGATGCAATGTATCATCCTCAGTCAAATTAATTGATGGTGAAAATCAGCATGTATTAGATAAACACTTTATTAAAAAGAAGACAGCATTTCGTTCTTCTGAACAAAAAAAAGTAACAAAATTATTTTCAATTTGGGTTTCGGAAAGTTTACGTCCCATATCGATAATTGAGGATCAAGGATTGAAAGAAATTTGTGCCCACTTTTATAATTTAGGTAACATGAGTTCTTTTTATATATATACTTGAATTTTACCTTTATTCATGTCTACTGTTTATTTTCTCTTTTTAGGTGAACAAAATTCGGGTCGTCATATGGACTTAGATAGTTTATTTCAATCCCGTCAAACATTGTCACGTTGTATAGCAAAAGAAGCACAATGGTGTAGAGAACAACTGATCGAGATTATTAAAGAACCTATTCAAAGTCAATCAGTAACAGTTTCACCAGATATGTGGTGCGACCATTATCGTCAGATCTCTTATTTAGGTGTCACAGTAACTTTTGTAGATATAAATTTAAAGTTTCGTAAGTTTACAATGTCCTGTCGAAACTTCCCTGTTGATCTAGCAAAAACTGGTGAAAACGTGTCAAAGGTAATACTACTATCTTTTGTAAGAAATTAACTGATTGATTATTTTTTATTTCAGATATTGACTGAAGAATTAAAGAAATATGGTATTGAAAATTTTGATTCTGTTTGTTGGGTTAGTGATCGTGGATCTAACTTCATACGATGTTTTAATTTAAATATGGTGGTTCCAATATTTTGTTTTGCACATAGAATGCATAATGTTTTAACTATTACATTTCTCAATAAAAAGGATTATGGTTATTTTAATGACGAGTCTATTGAAGACATTCCTGATAATTTAGGACAAGATGAATTTCTTGGTGACGCTTTTGTTACATTGTCTATCAAGAGAATTTTTTTGACTATTAACTATACAAAAATTCTAATAAAATATGTGAAATTGGTAAGTCAGTCTTTATTTTTTTAAAAGAATAAGGTATAATTCATTAAATCTATCCAAATAAATTATGAAAAAGGGAAGTAAATAAAAAAGATACTATATGTCAGAGGAGCTTGTTAATTTGGCGTTGTTAATTACGTATTTCATTGAATGTCATCACCATTCAGTAAATTGAATTGTTATTTGTAGAATATGTTTCTAATCAGAGTGTTTGTCTGCATACTATTCATTCTTCCGAAATACCATCAATAATTTAATATTTCTCTAAAAACAATCTGAAATTAGCACAACACTCGCAGATATTATATACATCTTTTTCTAAATATTTTTAGACAAATGTAAATGAACTGATCGTAAAACTAGGTGGTGATGGTACCAAAACATTAAAACAGTCCGTTGTGACGCGGTGGCTCTCCTTATTTACATGCATAGAGTCGGTTTACAGTAATTATGATGCCATTATATTGGCTTTGGAGAGTCGTCGTGCTACAAAATATATTAATGATTTAACAAAATATAATCTGATCGATGTCTTATTATTATTAGCTCCACTTAATGCTGCTCTTCAAGCTATTCAAATGGATGAAATGCCTTCTATACATTTGGTTATTCCATTTTATCAAAAGTTGATGAACGATTATAGCAGTTTTTCTAAATTATTTACATCAGCAAAAAAACGTTATCCTGATATATTTCAAACTTCGTTTGTTTGTGATTACTTAGTAAATGAACCCCATGGTATGTAATTTATCTATGAATACAATATAAAAGCAATAGTTCTACTATGAAGTCATTGTTTCTACTGTAGAATATATTCTACTGACGCATTCCATCTCGATTTAAAATAGTTTCTAAATGCTAAATGCCGAAGTTTTTTTTTATTGTAACGGTATTTTTATGAACACTATTGAGATGACTTTTATTAAAATATTTTAAATATCTACTCTAAATCCATCATAATCATTCTGTTATAATCTAACATTTTATCTGAAATTGTCACATAGGAATTATTTCTATTGTCCATTTCAGAATTAAATAGCCGTGGGCATTTTTTGAATAACTCCATAAGGAGAAAAGATAAAGAGCTGATATTTTTACACCATATAGAGTCGAGGTTGCTCTATCGTTACATATGGTCGATGAAAAATTTCAGTCATATTTTCTCTAGAATACACCATGAGTTTTGAAGATGAACATAATCGGTAGTAAAAATTAAATGCTTTCCCAACTCTAAGATAATGGGCAGATAGCCCATCGTTGCCGCTATCGATTCACACAAGCCTGAGGTCGATAGCTGTTTGCGTTTCAAAAATACAAAGGTTTTCTTGAAGGCTAGTGATCAGGTTTTTTCTAAAATTTAAACGAATAAAAAATATTTTCTTCTGTAAAGTTTTGTTGTCTTTTATTTCCTGACATGATTGTTAACCTTCAGAGTCTTTCTTTTTAATTAGAATAGCATTAAAATAAACTCAAAATATAGCTTTTGATGATAGTGAACCAATATCTTTAGTTAGTTTTATTGATGA